GCGTAGCTTACCGCTAAGAGCTTCCTTGTTCATTCCTTACGATCAAAACAACTAATCGAACAGCCGAATCAAGAATTGATCACTATATTCTTCACTCATTTCTAGGTCGATCAGCTGACCCGAACTTCCTCCGTTTCGGCAAATCAGCTGAACCGAATTTTCTACGCTTTGGAAAACGACCGGACGCCAGTATGAGTGAACCGAATTTCTTGCGCTTTGGTCGGAACAATTTTCTACGATTCGGGCGTGATAATAACATGATGTTCGATCGCGAATATCGTGAACCGAACTTTCTACGTTTCGGTAAATAATGTGTTGCCGAACTGGTGATGATTCGATGAATCCGGTGAAGATGAGAGAATGCGAGGAGAGAGAACTGAGATATTTGTTAACCGAATTCAACTGAATATATCGTTATGTGCCACAAATCCATCAATTTCCAGTCGATAAATCTATTTTGTGATGAGGGAGAATAAAAGCTATCATGTGATTGATTGTTATATACATCGTACTGATCGATGCATTCAAACAAATTTACGCAATGTACAATTTGACAAGCAACATTAGTGACCGTGTTCAGTTGTAAACTAGTGATTTTCGCACTCCATATGCACTTGTGCCGATCAAGCAGACTGTCATTCCCCTCTCGAATAATCAATGTTGGCACTACTCTCTTCTGCCTTCCAACAGTCGATTACTTATTAGCGATATATCAGCAGTAAATTGAAAAATTATTTCAGTGATTAAGTATTCTGCCTAAAGTTCGACAGTTGTTTTAAAAGAATTTCTTCCTTGCGATTAGGCGTACATTTTGAATACATTCTTCAACAATTATGAAAGATAAATGAAAAAAAAGATACAAACAACACAAATTATTCGTTAATTTTCTCAATTCTCTTAACATCATCGAATCCCTCCCAAAGAGAAACTTCCACTCGCCGTTGTAACCGCAATATAGACTTGCCCGAAATGAAGGACGAATTCAGGACAAACATAGAGGTGATATCCTCACTGAATCAGTAATTCAACGGGGATTCCTGAGATGGCCCAATGAGTTCTTTACTCATGCCTATCGCATGTCAAAATTCAAGCATTGACATGATTGCAAATCCACGTTCGAGATTTGAACCAACAAATTCAACTAGGGTGGATGCTTTGGAACTAATCTGAATTTTCGGCAAAGTCAATGATTTGGAAGAAGTTTTCCTTTTCGATGGGATCTGATAGTGGCCACGCTTGTATCGTCCACCTCATGACAAATATAGAAAGTACCTACCCGGTTTCTGGTCCTTCATCGTCAGTGATTTTATCGATCCAATTCAGAACTGGTCTCATTTGATCAAGACCAAACCAATACACCAAATTATAAGTTGCTAAATATTGCAAAGACAGCGTTGAACTGCTGTTGGTTGCTTGGTTGTCATGGCTACATCCTACGACTGCTGTGCTCATTCAAACATCCGATACGCTTTCTGTTCAATATCATGCAAATACATCACTTTAAGCTGCACGCACCATTCACCTTTCAGGGTCACATTTGTTCTCTTCTTCAAATTGTGCATCTTATATCATCTGCTCATGCACAGCCTTGCAATGATTGTTTTATAAAAGTTGCATTGTTAAAATTCATTGCATCAATAAAGCACTTTGTCGATAAGTGATGATGATTTACTTACTCATCTGCAATAATTTCAAAACTTCAAAAAGTGTCGTCAGTCGATTTATTGCAAACCATTTTCGGCTCAACCGCACCTTCACAATTGTGGCTGCATGCTGAAACTATGCCTGATTGAAGCGTCATTTGTATTATAATTGTAAAAAGCCACATTGTGGCGCATCATTCTTCAAGCATACGGGATTTAAACGAGAATACTTATTCGGTGCGCACTATGTTTCGAGATGTAATCATGCTCTAGTACTTCAATCGCCTTCATCATTATATGTTCGTTTCAGTTGCTTCACTGCATTCTAATCACAATAGCAGAACCTAGACGAACAACGTGTGATTAGCAACAGCTTTAATGTAATCATTGTAAGTTTCGCAGTGAACGAAAGATTCTATGTTTCCAATCAGAGACTCATACAGAATTGTTGTCTTAAAACAAGCATATTTTCATGATAACGAAAGCGGTTTTATTTCCATAGAAAATGCTTGGACCTGAAACGAAGTAGATGACTTTGATAATAGTAAAAACAACAAATGAAACAGAAGCGATACAATAGCCAAAAAACTAACAATAAAACTAATAATAACAATGGTAAAAAACAAAAGTGAGTAAAATCAAAATAAGAAACAATAACAATGGTAACAAAGATGTCAATAAAAATATCAACAAAATTTCAACGCCTTTCAGAGAAAGCTAAACTGACAAATTGAATTTCTTGCCACTGTAATTGGCAGAATCTAACAATGAATACAAGGCCGTATTATTGTTCATAATTTTGATGAAACAAACATTCTGAGCAAATGCAGCGATACAGTAAACAAAATTATGATCGCAAGAAACATGACTGTGCGCCATCGAGAGCATTTCATGTGTTCATGCGTCGTGAGCATGATGTGCGTAACAACAGCAACAACAGTGACAACAGCAGCAGCAACAACCACAGCAATGACTTAGTTGAGTCGGAATGCAATAAACGTAATCATACTGCGCAGGTTGAATATCACCGTAGTCAAGAACGCGATTTGCCCTTGTCGATCCAATCGAACAATGTGACTGTTCCATCGGAAAATTGGAAACCAGCGTTTCGTTTGCATCTGACGGTTGTGATTTCCTCTGACCTATATGCCGAACAAATTCACCTGAATACGCCTCACTGTATCCCACACACACATTTTAGATGCAGCTAAAACTGAAATTTGTGCCTATGCGGAAGCTAAAGTTTATTTATTGATGCAAAAATTCGTCTACAAGCTAGAACATTTCTCAAAACAGTTCAATCGGAACGCCCTGATTGTGAGAAGAATGTTAGTTCAGTCACAAATGCATCGTATTCACCAGAAAAAAATGACCAACCGCTATTACGATTGACTTCATCTGATGTCAAACGACTGTTCAAGGCCTTCTGTAACGATTCCGCATTGACCTTACCTTGGATCGATCTTGGTGTACCTAGGGATTCATTGACTCGTGTACCTGTATTGCTTACACTGAATCCACCCTATGCAACTGTCCAATGATTTTGTGTAGAATAATATATTAGAATACAACGCAACCAAATTGATTTCTCTTTTTTCTATGATAATTGATGGAAACGAGACATAACAACTGATGAATATGTATGACCAACAGTAAAGTTCATGATATAATTTCGCATATTCTTGAAACAACAATTTAATGTCAGCAGAATTGGTATTGTTCAAACAGAACGAAATGTTTAACCGTTGTACTGATCGAATTCAGTTGGCGCTGAGCGATTAGCTGACATCTTTTGCGATGGTTTTGTGGTGACAGTGTTGTGGAACAAGTTCGATGAAGGTGTACTGATTGAATTATGAGCTGGAGAAATGAGTGGTTTGGGAGCTGCAATTTGATTATATCCGCCCGGTTTAAATCCACTGAATAAACTTAGCGGACTTTTATATGAAGGAATGCAAGTGCTAATTTATTGATATGAGGATTCGTGAAAGAGGATTAATATTTTTTGGAATGACCGCTAAATGGAACAGCTCCTGACGAGGTAAAATTGCATTGCACTGAAGCAAGCAACGCACAAACTTAAAACAATGGTTCAATATCGATAACTTTTTGGATTAGAGCAGTAAAACATTAGAATGTTCAACCGTTATAACGATCGCTTTGATTTGTAGTAGAACGATCAGCTGAAGGCTCTTGTAGGGATCTTATGCTGATATGATTCAGTCCTGTTACCGGTAATGATTCATTTTCTTCACTGATTGGCGGAGGAGCTAAAATATCTCTCGATGCAAATCCGATTCACCTTGACGAAGAAAGACACCAGAAAAGTAGCTGTAGGCAAAATAGTCTGTTCAAAGGACCATTTATTCATAAAATACACTTTCCAGTCTCTGAAAAAGACCAGTGAACAAAAATAAATTCCATCCGATAGATGCAACCGAGTCACAATCGGACACTTTCGTTGTGTTCTTGAATAGAATGCGATTATTGATATTCAGGAGTGGAATTGGCGGTGACAAACCTTCAACGTCATCGTTGAATAGCATGAGCATGAGTGGATTCTGTTGCATTATATCGATCTCACCTTGGAACTCGTTTGCGAACACTTTCGACGCCTTTTTAGTGCCGAACATTCTCGCTAATTCCTGTCCACATTCAAAAATAACACTTCGTGTCACATTTTCAGAAATACTCATCGAAATTTTGTGTGCTTTCGAAAACACTGAGCGATTCTGTCGCGACGGAGCGCAAAAGAGATTTTATATCAGTTGGGTGTCCCTCACGAATCGTCGTCTCATTCGTGAGGGACACCAAAGTGATACATAAATTCAACCTTTAAATCTGTACGTTAGCTGCACATGTATAAGAGGTGCACGGATATCATGCACTATTTATTCGGATAACAAAATGTAACTTTCGTATATCTCACTTGAAGGATCTCCTCCCTTTTGTGTTTGTAGGAT